AGCACGTCAAATATGCTACTAATTGCTTAATCACATTATATGTTAGTGTGAACTCGTGAAATGGATAGCTGGTTTAAATAGTTTCTCTGCACCCAAACATTTAGACAGAATCTCGCACTCTTTCATTTGAAAAGGTCACACAACATTTATTTTATTTATACACAGGATTAGAGCGTAGAATATAATGCATGCAGATAGCAAAGATTTGCCCTGCTCAGGACTATATAATTTACCTGAGGCCTGTTAACACATCTTGTATCTGTGGAGTATGAGTGCAACCGCAACAGCTGCTTTCACACAGAAAGTGCGTTCGTTCCATTCGACCGTAAGTGGACTTCACAGGGTATTCAGCCATCTTAAGTGAGATTCCAATCCGAAGGGAGTGAACATGTTGAGTTCGAAGGGCACTGCAAACGCCATAGGGAATAAGGGAACATCGATGCATCACTTCACAGGAAGTGAAGAGGGAAAAATCACCCAACTGTCATTGTGCACCGCGTCACCAATTAGAATTAACCATGGAGGAGAGCCGTTGAATGTTTTTGCAATAGAAGGGTTGCAATAAATGTTATTATTATACAAATTACAGTATTTATGAATGGCTATGGTGATTAATGTTACATTTGCATATTGTATTGTATGAATAGGTGAAAGTAAAAACCAGCTCATTCACTTTCCTCAGTAACAGTCTACAAATCTCTTCTTCTGTGATACTTAAATATAATATAATACTTAAATATCCTCTTAGATTGTGTAAAGTGAAGCAGATCAACTGAAGCCCCTCAGTGTTCAGCCTTATCAGTGTTCAGATATCTTTTTAAAAATATTAGATAACTTTTAAACAACGTATCCGCGTGGCGCAGCTGACACTGAACAGCATACGCTGTTTATGTTCAGTGGATACTCTCCAAAATGGCACCAGGGTGACGCGGAGGAGACAAATTGTTGAATAAAGTCATTATTTTTGTTTTCTTTGCGCACAAAAAGTATTCTTGTAGGTTCGTAAAATTACGGTTGAACCCCTGATGTCACATTGATTATTTTACCGATGTCCTTACTACGTTTCTGAGCATTGATCGTGATAGGATGTAAGGATCCTTGCTGTCTATGGGAGGGTCAGAGAGCTCTCAGATTTCATCAAAAATATCTTAATCTGTGTTCCGAAGATGAACGAAGGTCTTACAGGTTTGGAACGACATGAGGGTGAATAATTAATGACAGAATTTTCATTTTTGGGTGAACTATCCCTTTAAAACTAATATAAATTATAAAACATCCACTTCCGACTTGCTCAGAGGAATAATGAATAGGTCAAATTTAAAGGCACTGTTTTAACTGGACACAGTGTAGACCAAAACGCAGTTCGATTTATTTTCCCCCCGAAAAAACATACAGTGAAATCAGAACTCGATATAACAATCGTTTGGTCCCCTATGGCAGATCATACAGTGGTCAATAAACATGTCATGAACACAATCTATTTATCCCAGTAGTGCAAATATTTGTTGAATTAATGAGAAAGACGTTCTCTCCACGTTTTGGACACTGGTTACAATGTCCAGCCAATCAACCTTTGTTGGAGGTTCGGACTGTAGCCACTTTCATGCTAGAGCTTTCTTGCTGGCTGCTAATGGTATCTTCAATAGATACTTTGTCTTTCACCATCTAATAAGATTCTACCAACTGAAATCTCTCCACATGTCTGGACAAAACAGATATTCAGCCAGTCTCCCTCTAAAATAATTAGACTGAAATAACTAGACAATTTTTATCAAACCTTATTTGCTGAATGTTTCTTAGTAGATTGAATAGCAAAATATAATATTGAGAAGTTTCCTATTGTCCTTGTTTTTATATACATCTTAAATATATCAATTGGGTTGGTGTCATATTTTTCCATATTATATTCTCATTATTGAAAATCCCGGTTTGTAAGTACCTAAAAAAAGTTTTTTTCAAACATATATATCAGAAATTTACAGAAAACGGTCTAATTCTCCCCTGATTAAACTGAAGAAGTGATGCCAAGCCTATACCAGAGCTGAAATGAAACCTCTCATCAGTCCCTGCTGGTTTAAAGTCGGGGTCGAAAGCAACCCATCTCAATAGTCTAGACTGTCTTTCAGGTAATGATGATTTACATTCTTTAAAGCATTTATGCACAAGCTACATTCTCTGTATAGTATGTCAAACAAAAATGAGCGTGAACTCAAAGAGGCAGCAGCTGAAGTAGTTCTTCACATTGGCAGAGTCTTGTACGCTGGGTGTGCACAATCACAGTGATACATTCATTTAGAGAGAAATATGGTGAGGCTTTAGAAGCAAAAGAGAGAGGGGTGTATCGATCTATAGCGTTGAAAAGAAATACAAAGCTCAAGTCTATCAATCCAGGCCAGTTCTTACAAAGCCTTGTGAACAATCTTGAGCAACGCTTGTCTTTCGAAAATGAGACCATCAAAGACCTCAGCATCCTTTATCAGTGTAAATGGCCATCAAACCCCAATATCCGCCATGGTGAAGAACAAGTTAAGCGACTGTGCAAGCGATTTAACTTGTGCACAGACCAATCACTGAATGGGATGTGGGACCTACTGCAAGAGCCCAAGTGAGCCGCTAAAACAGCTCATTAACTGTATGAAAACATTCCCTGTCAGCACAGCAGAGTGTGAGAGGAACTTTAGCCTTATGAACAACATAAGCACAGACAAAAAGGCTGGTCTCAAACATGTCAAACTTGATGATAAACATCAACGGACCCCCTACTTCCAAGTTTGATCCTAGAAAGTACACAAGGACCTGATTGAAGAGCCACCATGCTGCCTCTTCTGTGTGTTCTAAACAATGCAGTGTGAAAACTATTAATGTGCTATCCTGCCGACCAATAAAAACCGACAATCCCATGGTGAAGAACAAGTTAAGCGACTGTGCAAGCGATTTAACTTGTGCACAGACCAATCACTGAATGGGATGTGGGAACTACTGCAAGAGCCCAAGTGAGCCGCTAAAACAGCTCATTAACTGTATGAAAACATTTCCTGTCAGCACAGCAGAGTGTGAGAGGAACTTTAGCCTTATGAACAACATAAGCACAGACAAAAGGGCTGGTCTCAAACATGTCAAACTTGATGATAAACATCAACGAACCCCCTACTTCCAAGTTTGATCCTAGAAAGTACACAAGGACCTGATTGAAGAGCCACCATGCTGCCTCTTCTGTGTGTTCTAAACAATGCAGTGTGAAAACTATTAATGTGCTATCCTGCCGACCAATTAAAACCGACAATCAACTATCTACTACTAAAAGAGGAACATTCAAGACGGAAGGGTGGCACAATCTTTGGTGACGTGAGCTCGGAAATGAGTAAGTGACGGCAGCGGAAGAAGTGAGCGGTCTGGGCGCGGCTTCGGCTTGAGAGTGATGTGAGAGACAGCGTGCTACTGTGCAACCAGTGAACCTGCATGCTATAAGTGAGTTGTTGAGCTACTGTGCGAGAGTGAGTCCATTTGAGAATGGAGGGTGAAAGTGAAGTAGAGTAGCAGTGACCTGAAAGAGTGGATTATAGTTACCTGGAGCTGACGGCGTGTCGGTGTGGGCGTGGAAGCTGCGGTGAATCACCGTTTCTCTGGTTTGGCTGCTGGCACAGGTCAGTGCTCTCGGATGGATGGTGGCACAGTGATTTGCTCCTATGCTGCAAAAGAAGCTCCTGGTACTTACCTGAACTCTGGAATACTCCAAACGAAGACCAGCGGCACGAGGTACAAGTTCAGTGCAATCACTTTACGCATTAACACACACGCCATTTATAAAATGCCCGTTTGCAGTTCACACACACATACACACACACACATACACACACTCTCATCTACGCAATCCCTTTTCCTTTGTTTTTTGTTTTATGTTCTTGTTTTGTGCAATTGTTCCAATTCATCTGCTCATTTAAAGTCCGTGTGAAGTTGCTGCCGACTTTATTTCAGTGTAGTGACGTATTTCCAGCTGAAACGGAATATTGAGGGCATGGTTTTATTTTTGCGCTCCTCCTCTCAGTCTCTCACTCATAGCAACCTAACGGTTGGAGGGGTGTGTTTAAGGATATTCTGCACAAGCCGTCAAACTGATGTCATCAGAGAAGGAATGCCATTCCAGAGCGGAAGTAAATGTTCAGATTTTGATTAAAGATTACAGAGACAAACAATTTTTTTCAGCGGATTAACTTGCACGGATTAATTGTGCTCCTCCTCTCAGTCTCTCACTCATAGCAACCTAACGGTTGGAGGGGTGTGTTTAAGGATATTCTGCACAAGCCGTCAAACTGATGTCATCAGAGAAGGAATGCCATTCCAGAGCGGAAGTAAATGTTCAGATTTTGATTAAAGATTACAGAGACAAACAATTTTTTTCAGCGGATTAACTTGCACGGATTAATTGTGAAAGAAAACTGAAAGTGACGTGATGTGGCCAAGTATGGTGACCCATACTCTGAATTGGTGCTCTGCATTTATCCCATCCAAAGTACACACACACAGCAGTGAACACACACACACACCCGGAGCAGTGGGCAGCCATTG